AAAAAAAAAAAAAAAAAAATTTAGATCATGATTTTATTCTTTTAAATTATACCATGATTTTATAATTTGTTGGGATAGAATCCACAATTGTATTAACTCAGTGGGAAAAAAAATTCTTATTTGTGTCACATGGTCTAGGAGTGTGTTTAAGGTATAAAGGAAAGTGGGAGAAAGAATCGTAAAGTATTAGTAACTAGAAGGGCTCTTAGGGAAGTCATCGAGTAAAGGAGGCCCACAAAGGCTAAGTGACTTGCCCCAGGTCGCACACAGCAGAACGGCAGGCCTGGAACCAGGACCCTGCTCTCTGAACCTCAGCCAGCTGAAGTTAAAGTCACGTTGGCTTATCTGCTTTCAGCCTCAGATTTTTAAAAAACTACATTGATGACTTAAGTTATCTTCAGGAGAAACTGATCCTTCTAAATACTTGTTGAAACTAGAAAAGTGCCAGATGGCTGATTACTGGAGTCGAGTAGCTGCACAGTGCAGGTTTAGAGTGTGAAAGTGAATCGATTGTTAATTCCTTAAGTTCAGACGTTACAGGAACATAATGATTTCCATGCTAGATTAATCTATCTCTAGCATTTTCTGTTAGTAGGCATTTATGTCTCCTTCATTTACAAATTTTGTTTCTTACCCGTGCAGCATCTTGAAGGATTGTTAACTCCACCGCGAAGTATTGCTCTTTATCTGAATAAAAATCTTTATTCCGCTTTTAAAGGGCATTCTTTAGTTCTAGAATGTTTTTATATTAAATAAGGAACATATGTTTCTGGGAAGTTCTAACTTTAAGTTAAACTTTTCTTACACTATTTCTTAAGCTATTTTATTTTCATTTTCTATTAGCCATTTCTTTTTTACCTCATTGCTTAACTAGAGCTTTTGAATATGCTTAATCTTTATGAATAAAAAATAAATCTCAGTTCTTGTTCTAATAGAGAAAATTATTCTCTATATTGGGCCGTGTAAAAATTATAAACTGTATATTTCAACAGTTTATTTCACGTTTCAATATTATTTTACTTTTTGTACTAGGTCATGCATGCATTTAGCAGTTACACATTTAAGAGGGTGGGTGATATTTAAATGTTATGAACAGATTCTTTTGAACCTTTTGCCAAGTACATTTGTCTTTGCATAATATTTTGATAATTGGCATCAAAATGAGTTTATTATACATTCATAAAGAATGGCAAGGAAGATTACAGTGTCTTACTGAAATTTCACAAAAATTTCACTGACGTTCCTTGAACTTCAGTGCAGACAATCAAGGCAATCCAGATGTGAGTGTGCCTGTGTGTACAGTAGACGAAGGGAAGATAAAATACTTTGTTATGTGTGGAGAAACAGACATTAAAATAGTCTGTTGTCTAAAGATACATGTAGACAAGATTATATATACTTTTTAAAATTCAAACGAGTGACTGGATTTATACCTAGATTTTCTCACTTCTGTGATGTACTGACATTACTCCTTGCCGTTCCAAGGCAGTGAATGTTATCTTGATCTACGAGTTACTGCTGTGTGCACTGAACAGGAGCATGCTCTGTCAAAGAGAATTAACCTTTCCACGCTGTTACTAGCCTTGTGTATCCACAGATGTGTGTGTATATAGATCCATGTGTATATATATGAGACCTATTTACTATTCCAAAAGGAGCAAAATTTGTGAGTTTATTTTTCTGCCCTTATAACTTTAATAAGAAATTTTTTCTTACCTTTAACCTTATTGATTGAGCTGTCCACAGCATTTTTTTTAACTGACAGTATTTATTGGGACTCGCTTTTACTTTATTTTTAATTATGTATCCTGATATTTTATAGAATGGGCATCGTATTTCAATGTTATTATTAATATTTAATGGGCCTTTGTTAGGTATAAAGCAAGATATTTCCAGTAGGTCCTGTTAGCAATAAGTTTTGTGTTATAGAGTTGAACAAGGTATTTTTCTATAAATCAATTATTAAATTATATTATTTTCAAACTAGATTGTGATGGTAAGGTTAA